TTTTTTATTTTCAAAATTTAATGAGTATAACAAGAAATTATGAGAAAAATAACGCAAATCAATTTTTTTGGAAATTTGGAAATTTGGAAATTTTTGTGCTCCCTTAATTTTTTTTCTGAGTGTAGTAACACAGCATGTATTTCTGTCCTCGGAACTTACCAGCAGGATAATTATGCAGTATGCATCCGCACCTTTGCATCTGATCTACCATGGCACACTCCATAATACAATTCGAATACGAATAAAAGTCGAAATACTTCAAATTATTCTCATCGGAAAATCTGCACGACCTCTCTTCAATTGGCACGGACCTCTCTTCATCGAAAGTTACAGTCTCCTGGAATTTGTCCGTGTCAGGTATGCCAGGTGGCCCAAGAAAAGTTTCCACCTTATTTTGCAACTACTGATTTTCCACTTTTCTTCTTCTTAACTTAGATTTTACTTTAGCATAATTTTATTTGGTTCAAGTTTAAGAAAATAATGTTAAAAGAGGATTAAAATGTACTCAAACCAAAAATTTAAGTTTAATTATCTGTCAAATTAATTCAAGTATGCAAACGTTTGTTTTCATGGCCTACCTACCAACATAATCCTTTCCCATTCCTAAGATTATGTAATAAAACTTTAAAATCGATTTTTCTCTAAAACGAAGCATTTTATCGGAGTAAATCAAGAGTACATTTTTTTTGTGAAAATCTCATATCTATCATAGTTTGATGATTAAATTTGAAAATATTGACATGCGAAATATTGGGGGCGCATTTTATAAACAGTTTTCGTGTAGTTCGTTAGAACATTCATTGAATGTCCATCATACCAAAGTTCATAATGGATACGTTGACTGATTTTGGAAACATTTTGAAAAATATGATCTGTTAAGGCCCCTTGTAGGGGGGCGTAGCTCCTTTGCTTATGGCAAAATATAATCTTATTTTTGATCGTAGAATCTACTGCTAAAGTATTTCACACTAATTATGGGACACGTGTATATCAGCACCCAGTGGTGTTTTGCGAAATTTAGAAATTATTATTTACAATTTCTGACAACTAGTAACTTTAAATTATGAAGCATTTAACATTGGCGGAGGCTATGACTATGAGGATTGAGGCTATGACCCGTTTGTATCAGCTTTTATTTGGTTGTTTTTGCAGCGCTTTGGAGACACTAAAACTGACACAACTTTGGAGACACTGCGTCCAATCAAGCATAATATAAATGTTAATGTTAAAGCAGGTGGAAACTCTTCTTTGAAATATCATTTTAAGGTTTAAAAAACAATTCACGTGTTTCTTTTTATAAAATAGTGGAATATATTTTGCTGTCTTTTAAATAAATTTATATTTATCCATTTGGTGAAAACTGAAGAAAAGTTGATTAACATACCTCAGCGTTAAGCCTGTAGTAATACTCGTTATCAGTAGTCAACTGATTCTGATAGAAGGCATTTTGATTTTGATGGTGAGGTACTTCTAATGGATGGACCACGTAAATTGCTAATTCTATCTTTTTTAACTCAAAGTACAATATACCCTGACTCCTACTCGGCTCCCGCAAAAAATGCCGTTTTATTGTCTGCACACGTCTGCCGTTCTTGTCTCTAAAAAAATAAGTAGGATATTAGTGACTAACTAATTCCAATGCACGGATACCAGTGAATGCAAGTTACGGGGAAGTGGAGTGTGCGAGGTAATCTGACCGCGCATACTTTGGACAGGTCCGGATTAAGCAATAGTTTTACACTTATGACAAACATTCATTTTTCAAGCTTGGAATTCAGAAAATAATATATTTTAATGTCTTGCTTATATTAAATAAACCTAGAAAATAATTTAAATATATTTATTGTCCTTTAAGTAGTGTTAGTTTATTTTATATTTTTCATTTCGTAGATTTTACTGAAATAAATATTTTGACTTCATGATCTATTCTCACATCAATATACTTTTCACATACAGTCCTTGAGTCCTTACAAGTTCTGTTAAATGATTACACTTGTTAGGGAAATTATCAAATTGATGTTCATCACTAAAATGTTTAGGTATATAATTTTTTCATTATCCGTGATATTCAAAGTTGACATCAAATTTCTATAATATTTGTATATAAAGTATAATAATTACTTATTATTTCTGGTAGATTTAATGTGGAAATTGCATTTTTTGCTAATTTGCGGACTACGTTTTTGTTGAAAATTCAAAAATTTTCTTCCAAGTGGTTAGAAAATACATATACGTAAATTTTGATGGTACCCAATCCTGTTTTTTAAAGGCTTTCGCCTATCTGTAGAAATCGATAATATGTACCTTGGATTTTTTAAATAAAAATATTCTTATTTAGAAAAAAAAACGTTTAGATGCTAAAAGTCCTTTTTGTTCTTACCTTCCTCCGTAGTTATTAAAACCAAAACATTTCCCATATGTAGTATTAACTAACAAAAATTCTGTACAGCAGTCGAAAGGTTCGCCATTATACTTGCAGAATGTAAATATATCGACACACGTACTTCTTAACTGAAAAAAGTGGTTTTCAAAGACATGCTGTCGTATATAAACACTTTCTTCGAGATTGTGTGAGATTTTTGGTTAGGCAAAAATAATTTATTAAAAATAACCCTTGACTAATTTTTTTTCACAGGTGTCAAAATACCCAGTAAATAGAAAAAAAATAAGAAACAATTTGAAACAAAGAGAGAGAAACAAATGGGTATTCTTCCCATTTGAATTAATGCAATTATGTACTTCGATTATTATATTAAAAAATTACCCTGAATACAAATATCAACTGTCCAAATTTTATTTAAATAAATGCAAAAAACTAAATATTTTTGTTACGTTTGACACTAAGGGACTAAATGAAACAATTTCAAATTGAGACCAGCTTTGTTAAATTGTCATTTACGATCCCAAGAATATGAGATAGTTGCATGTATGCGAAATATTGAGATACTCTGAGGATACAAACACGGTAGCTTTGGTACCAGTAATTTATTATTACTTACTTATTTTTGTAAGTGGCCTGTCCTTACCTCTTCCGATAAAATAGAATAATTCCCCTTGGGGCATTCATTAGCTTTGCAAATGGAGTTAAGTGAACCTGTGTAGGCCGAGGAGAAGAAAGCAAATTGTTGAATCCTCATCTTGAAGTCATCAGATGCAAGCGATTTGTTGTAGTTGATCCTATCAAGATATCTATAAAGAGGAAAGGTACAATGGATGCAATACTATCTGATTAGCAATTAAAACTAATGTCTGCAGAACAATGCATTTTAAGAATTCATTATTGCCATAAAGCGGCACTGCCCCAATGCGACGCGGGCTATATCCACTACCCGCTATTTACTCTCCACGTGACGTCACATGGCCGTGTGTTCTCGCAATATCGTATTTCTTAGGCCTTGTATCATGCAATTACAAATAACGTAGTTGACTGAATATTGTATTTACACCCGTTAAAGGTTTTAGATCTAACTAATCTAAATAATTTCTCAAAGTTTTGATGTGAACAAAATATAAAAAAATAATATTACTTGTCTACAGCTCTCTTTTGCTTCGTTGTGATCGCATCACTTTTCTTTTCGCAGACGACAACTGATGGATATGGTGTAGTCCAATCAAGATAGTCGGTGTCAACTTTATACATAGGTTTTTGTCCTTTGTATTCGAACCAAGTCCTCGACACCACATAATATGTTCCTCCCTGAAAATAAATAAATAAATGCGAGACCATATAAAGAGAAACAAAATATGCTTCAAAAAATATATAATTAATAGGATTTGTATTGCTTATAAGTGTAAAGCCTGTTACTGATTTGGTCAGCGTTGCTGATTCTTTCAATATTTATATTCATTATTACCGTACTTAATTTTAAAATTCTTCAAAAACTAGAAGCATATCTTCTTTTTAATTGAGTAGGTACTATTTATTTTAAGTAAACAGTAAATTTGCACAAAACTAATTAAACTATGACAGTCATCGGGAATTATACTTATTACACTGGGTATATTATAGTTATATCTAAATGAATAAATAGGTACTTACTAAGCTTGCCAAAATCGCCATTAACCAAAATATTCTTTCAGTCCAATGCAATTTTTTGTTGACTAGATAGTGGACACAACAAATGTAGGCATTTTCAAAATACTCTTGCAGAATTGCCATCTTGTGTGCTATTTATGGGTGCATTACTTCGTTCCCAAGTAAAACGACGTAAAATGCAGTCAGTTTAAATATTTATTATATAAATGCAGTAATATGGCATGACAATTTTTATGCTCTCAGCCATAATATATCTAGATAATAAATAATTTAATTCCATTCGAATATACGTATTGTACCCACATAGAGAGATAACTAAAGCAAATTAATATTTTAATTGTAACTCTGTAACACGCAAATATGTTTTAGAGGGCTTTAATTTGAAATCAATATCACGGTTGTATATTAAACTTATTTGTAACATTCCTAACATAATTTTTAAAAAATAAGTAGCATATTATACAGAATATCTCAATTAAATGAGGTAGTGAGCGTCATCTAGTGGCTGACTTTAATATGTCATACGTAACAGAATATGTAATAGATGGCAGCACTTCAAGATTAGAGCTGAGAAAGTACATACATATATTTAAAACAAAAATATAAATTTAAATCAATTGTAAAGAAAGAACTATTGGTTGATGTATATGTAAATTTTTATTGAATAACTCGTATTCGTCCATCTGTTTAGAGGTAGGATACGAGAAGTGTTACGTCGCCGTCGTATTACGTCATCTAAAAGAATTTACCTACCTATCCAAAGGCCTTCAATAACATTTCAAATATACTAGAACTGAAATTTCAAATGAATGTCAAAACTAAAACATTTGTGACAGTTATTGATTAAAATTACTAACGAATAATTTAAAAATCTGCTAATAAGAACCTGAAATATCGGAGTAGTCAAATTTCCCGCCGAGCTGACCCGGAATCCGGAAGTAGGCAACCAGTGACAGTCAAAAAAACAAATGAGTAATCAGATATGGCGCTTGCTGTCGTAAGTGAAGTTATTTTAAAATAAATCTCAGCGGCTGTCAGTAATTTGAACAATTCAACCATTTTCAAGCGCCCTACAAGAGATTTATTTGAAACAGTAAGGACGAGCGAATCAAATAAGAATTCGAAAAAATGAGCGTGGATGCGTATGGCCCCAGTTCGCAGACCCTCACGTTTTTGGACACGGAGGATGCGGATTTGATAGGAGCTGACACCCAGGGCTCGGAATGCGACTTCACCGATTTCACCATCCCCTCGCAGACGCAGGCTTCCCAACACGACCACACCGGCCCCAAAGTTTCCGGGGTACAGGTTAGTTACATGCCAAGGTCAAAACCTCGGTTTGGTGTCATGTCATATGATTTTAGGTGAACAACAATATTGTTAATAAAATCGCAGCCACTACCAGTGCCTTAGGAGAGTTGCAGTTCGAGGAGGACGATGAGGAAGGTTACTTCAACGGGAAGGAATTGCCCGATTACGCTTGTAAGTACTGTGGCATCCACGAGCCGAACTGCGTGGTTATGTGCAACTTGTGCAAGAAGTGGTTCTGTAACGGCAGGGGGAACACTTCCGGCAGCCATATTATCAATCATTTGGTAAGTACAGTCATTTCTTTGATTTTTTTTTTATTTTTCTTGTAAAATTGTTTTTAATATCGTTGGTGTTCGGTATGTGCTTATTATCGATATAGCATTTATAATTTATAATGTATAGATTTTAAACTTGTTAATGTATGTTACAGTATTGAAAAACCAATAATCGAAATCATTATGTGGTTAAATATATTTTTAAATCAATTCCATTGTCCCATAAAGAAATAAATAAAAATCACAATGAAAACACCTACACAATAATAAAATGTTCTTATATTATCAAAGGTTATTATTTAAATAAAGTGAAGACATATTTTTCTGGTGACTTGTAAAAATCAGTATCGTAAAACGTTTTTATCACATTTATTTTAAAGTACCTACTTATATATTTATAGTTATTGCAACATGTCTTTTATATAATATAAAACAAGGCATGTGTTGTTGTTTAACTTGAATTTACTTAATTTCAGTTACAAGCGAAATATAAATAATGAATTGATGCTATCAAAACTAGACAGGTATTAATTATTAATACTTGTACAATCTTGTTTGATGACGTGACAAATTAAGTATTTCTGTCTTTATACACGGTGGTCCAATTTTTTTTTATAAAACCATAGGAGTAGTTACATTATAAAAATAATTCGATAAAACGTTTACTTTTTTTAAATATATTTTAAATTTACAGTTGTATCGATGTAAATATAGGGGGTGGTGGGTGTCGATTATTTTGATTTTTATCGTAAATATAACGTGTTTCTAAAATGAAATTTTGACCTAGTTTTTGTTTATAAAAGTAATTCAATGGGAAAGTCAAAAATGCAATAATACACGTGTTCTTTGGAAATATTTACATAAAGCAACTTTTTTATGGAAATTTTTTCATATTGTCAAAATGAATTAAACTAGTCAAAAAATGTGTTTCAAACGGTATAACCTGTTATTATGTCTGTTATTTTTATGGAATGGAAAATATTTGATTTTATTTTTTGGTCAAATTGTTTAATTTCTTGTTCAAAATTTTCTTTGAAGATCATGATTTTCCAAGTTAGTTACTTAAAACTGGTAATTTTAATTGTGGTTTTATAAAAAAATGATTAAATCGTCTCAACCCTGATTACCGTCATTATCAAGCTTAAAGGGATATGGCTTAAGACACACCTAAACGTTACAGAATAAAGAACATTTATAACAAATATGTTATATTTGGAAAGGACACTGCACTTTTCTTATGAAAAAGTGGTTTCAGTTAATGTGGCTGAAATTTTTATATGTTACATCTCTTAACCTGCCGATCACAAGTCCCCATTGGCGCAATATCCAAAAGTTCATAATTTTTGAATTACGTTCACTTCAGTTCAATAACTTTGTATTCGAAACTGCGAGTAGTTCTTTTGACTGCAGATTTCCGTTACAACTATTCTAATTGATGACATAAAAACCTATTAGATTTTATAAATTGTAATAGAAAATTAAATATTTTATTAATTCTTTTATGTTCATGTATCTGTCACATATTAATGCAGGCATTGACCAAATCAAGATTCAGGGCTAAACTCAACCAATTTTCACGGGTAAAAAAGCTGCCCCAAAGAGGTGTTAGACCGATTTTGCAACCTGCACATGGTACACCTTGGGTAATGCAAATGCAGACGGCAAAAGATATTAAATAACCTTTTTAACCCTTTCGAATACAGAGTTATTGCTCTGAAGTCAACATAACTCTAAAATGATGAACTTTTGGATATTGCGCCAATAGAAACTTTTGATCGGCAGGTTAACAGCTGCAACATAAAAAGAATATATTTTACTAAGTGAATATTCTACTCAAGATTATATTTCTATTTTGTTGATGATAGAAATTAGGGCATTTGGAATAGATCAGGGTCATTTTTATTATTACGAACAGTATTTTTGTTTCGTTTTTTTATCTCTTCGATCCCGCTACCGCTATCTGTCTCCAACATTTTAACAAAGCATGAAATGAATACTGTTAAGGTACAATATTTCACATATTTAATTGATAAGGTTTGGATTTTTTAAATATAATGTATGTTACTATCATTTTTTCCGATAATTTAACTGATCCTAAAAATTGACACAAAAAAAACAACCCGTTGCGTTAATATTTCTTCTAGGTCAGAGCAAAGCACAAGGAGGTGACTTTACACAAGGACGGGCCGCTGGGAGAGACCATCTTGGAGTGTTACAGTTGTGGAGTGCGTAATGTGTTCGTTTTGGGTTTCATCCCGGCAAAAGCCGACTCCGTCGTTGTGTTGTTGTGCCGGCAGCCCTGCGCCGCGCAAAATTCCTTGAAGGCAAGCATAAAATTCCTTTTAACTAACAACCGTACATCGATTTTAATTGTGTAAGTTGACACATTTTTATGTTGTTTGTTAGGATATGAATTGGGATCAAGACCAGTGGAAGCCCCTCATAGCAGACCGTTGCTTCCTTACCTGGCTCGTTAAAATACCGTCTGAACAGGAGCAACTAAGAGCCAGGCAAATATCCGCCCAACAGATTAACAAACTGGAGGAGCTGTGGAAGGAAAACGTCGACGCGACGTTCCAAGACCTCGAAAAGCCAGGCGTGGACGAAGAACCACAACAAGTAACTACAACGCAATCCCTGAGTACTTCTATTTCCATTCACTGTGATCTTTACAGGTTCTTCTGCGTTACGAAGACGGATACCAGTACCAGAATATTTTCGGTCCGCTGGTGAAGCTGGAAGCGGATTACGACAAACGCTTGAAGGAGTCTCAGACCCAGGAGAACATCGAGGTGCGTTGGGATGTGGGTCTAAACAAAAAGACGATTGCATATTTTACGCTCGCGAAGACCGACGGCGACATGAAACTGATGCACGGCGACGAGCTGAGACTTAGGTACGTCGGCGAGATGCACAAGACGTGGGCGGGGGTGGGGCACGTCATCAAAGTTCCGGACAATTATGGCGAAGACATCGGGATAGAGTTGAAGAACGGGTCCGGCGCCCCCATTGATTGCAACAGCAATTTCGTCGTTGATTTCATTTGGAAAAGCACGAGCTTTGACAGGTAGGTGCAAGCTAATATAGGTTTTGGAAATATAAATTGATTTGATGTGATTTTGACTTGAAATGCTTTTTTTTATGTTACCAAAGCAGTATTGAAGTAAAAAAACATTCTTTCCATCGACCACCATAAAATGCAGTTTCGCAAACCCATTTTTGTACTAATACCGTCACTTTGTAGATGTACTCTTTCACATCTGCAAATATTTCACAATTATTTCACGTCTGCCAAAATTGGACGTATTGATTCCGGGGTCGTGAAGTAAAAGTGGACGTGAAGTGATTGGATACATGAAGATTTTGAGGACGTAAAATAACATGACATTTAAAAATTGACACCAAATTAAAGATTAATGAAATTGCAGAAGCAGATTTGTCCATAAAAATGTAACTTTTTGCCGGAGCAAATTACAAATTTCTTTACAACAAAAAGTAATTTGAGTTTCAAATTAACTCCATTTCATAGAAAATCTGCGTTAAAATGGGGGAAAGTCTGTTATTTGTGCATTAATTCATATTTAAAAATTTTGAAAAAATAGAGAAAAAATTTTAAATACTGATCAAGAAAATTGTATTAATGCTTAGGTTAGCCTGAAAAACATTAAACGTTAAATAGAAGTTATAACGTTTGCGTGCTGTAAAAAATATTTCTGATATTAAACCTACCCTTTGACAGAATGCAATTAGCTTTACGCAAATTCGCCGTCGACGACACCTCCGTCTCCGCCTACATCTACCACCGCCTGCTGGGGCACGAAGTCGAGGAGGTCCTCTTCCGTTGCCACCTGCCCAAGCACTTTTCCGCACCCAACCTGCCCGACCTGAACCGATCCCAAGTGTACGCCGTGAAACACGCCCTACAACGGCCCCTCTCCCTAATCCAAGGACCTCCCGGCACTGGAAAGACCGTGACGTCGGCCACCATCGTCTACCAGCTAGTCAAGCAGAACGGCGGCCCCGTCTTGGTGTGCGCCCCAAGCAACACCGCCGTGGACCAACTGACGGAGAAGATCCACAAGACCAACTTGAAAGTGGTCCGTTTGTGCGCCAAATCCCGGGAGGCCATAGACTCGCCCGTTAGCTTCTTGGCGTTGCATAATCAGATCCGGAAAATGGAGGGGAACACGGAGCTGCAGAAGTTGCAGCAGCTTAAGGACGAGACGGGCGAGTTGAGTTCGGTTGATGAGAAGAGGTACAGGATGTTGAAGAAGCTGGCCGAGAAGGAGCTGTTGGAGGCCGCCGATGTTATTTGCTGTACTTGTGTTGGTGCTGGCGATCCGCGGTTGGTCAGGCTGAAGTTTCACTCGATACTTATCGATGAAAGTATGCAGGTTAGTACTTGTGGTTGTTGCGCTGTATATTTTTTAAAGGCGATTTTGAGGACGTAAAATAATATGACATTTAAAAATTATTATTAATTAAAACAGTATCAAAGTAAAAAAACATTTTTTCTGTCGACTTCACCTTAAAATGGAGTTTTGCAAACCCATTTTTGGACTAATATGTCGCTTTGTAGATGTACTCTTTCACATTTGCAAATATTTCACAATTATTTCACGTCTACCAAAATTGGACGGATTGATTTGGGGGTCGTGAAGTAAAAGTGGACGTGAAGTGATTAGATACGTGAAGATTTTGAGGACGTAAAATAACACGACTTTTAAAAATTGACACCAAAGCAGTATCAAAGTAAAAAAAAACATTTTTTCCTTCGACTTCACCATAAAATGGAGTTTTGCAAACCCATTTTTGAACTAATACTGTTGCTTTGTAGATGTACTCTTTCACATCTGCAAATATTTCACAAACAATTATTTCACGTCTGCCAAAATTGGATTGATTCAGAGGGTCGTGAAGTAAAAGTGGACGTGAAGTGATTGGCTACCTGAAGAATTTGAGGACGTAAAATAACATGACATTTAAAAATTGTGACCAAAGCAGTATCAAAGTAAAAAAAAACATTTTTTCAATTTTATTCTGCAGAAAAAGCCAGTTGCGCGTAACTCTTTCGAGCAGTCAAATATAACAAATTTTTGAAATCAAATACAATAGCACCTTTTTAAAAATGTCGTATAACGATAGAAAAAGAGAGCTATACAGTCTGTTTCATGAAATTTTTTAAAATTCTCTATATAATGGTCTATTTATGAAATTTATGATAATTTTTACTCGTGCGCTTTTATCCCCAGCTTTTTACGAAAATAACCGTTATCCACTTTACAATTCTCCCTTCCGTTAGGCAACCGAACCCGAGTGCATGGTCCCGGTCGTCCTGGGCGTCAAACAACTCATCCTCGTCGGCGACCACTGCCAACTGGGGCCTGTGGTGATGTGCAAGAAAGCCGCGAGGGCCGGCCTCTCCCAGAGTTTATTTGAACGTCTCGTAGTCCTCGGCATCAGGCCGTTCCGACTGGAGGTCCAGTACAGGATGCACCCGGAACTGTCGAGGTTCCCGTCAAACTTCTTCTACGAGGGTAGCCTCCAGAACGGCGTTAGCGCGGAGGAACGGAAACTGGCCAAGATCGACTTCCCGTGGCCGATAGCCGACAGACCCATGTTCTTCCTCGTGACTCAAGGCCAGGAGGAGATTGCCGGTTCCGGCACGAGCTACTTGAACAGGACGGAGGCTTCCAACGTGGAAAAAATTGCCACGAGGTAGGAATTAACGTTATATTATAATTTTTTCTTGTAATCCTTTAAAATTGCAGTATTTTTATTATTCATTCACCGATACTCGCTTTTCATGTTCGATTTCCCTGATACGCGTTGTTTGTCATACAATATTCTCGATCTGTACTGATACCCGCACACGATTTCATTTTTAACAATAGTTATTGAAGTAATTAAATAATTTCGCCCACTTGTACGCTTATGACGCTCACTGACACACCACGATTAAAAATTCCAACAGAAGACAAAAAAATGTTTTATAAGATTAAGAAATCGTGCAAAGATATATGTTGGTTTATTTATGACTCTACTGTCTACTGTTTTGGCACTAGGACACAGTGATAGATTTATTATCGCGTGATTTTAATCAAAATATGCAAAAATAGAGATGGCTAAATTCCGCCCTTGTAATGTATACTTTCCCTTCAGATTTCTACGATCAGGAGTAAAACCGGAACAAATAGGCGTGATCACCCCCTACGAAGGCCAAAGGGCCTACTTGGTGCAGTACATGCAGTACCAAGGATCGTTACACAGCAAGCTGTACCAGGAGATAGAAATAGCCAGCGTCGACGCGTTCCAGGGTCGCGAAAAAGACATAATAATAATGTCCTGCGTGCGTTCCAACGAGCACCAGGGCATCGGCTTTCTAAACGACCCCCGCCGACTGAACGTCGCCCTAACCCGAGCCAAGTACGGAATAATCATCGTGGGCAATCCGAAAGTCCTCTCGAAGCAACCCCTCTGGAACCACCTACTGTCCTTTTACAAGGAGCAAAAGGTCCTGTGCGAAGGCCCCCTGACCAACCTCAAAGAATCACTGATACAATTCGCCAAGCCCAAAAAGCTGATCAACTCGGAGAATCCGGGCTCCCACTTTATGACCACCTCCATGTTCGACGCCCGCGAGGCCATGGTTCCGGGCTCGGTGTACGACAGGACCAACACCGCGATCAACGGCCAGTTCAACTACCCGAACCGCGGCATGCCCCTGGACATGTTCAGCCGCACCCACGACCCCATCAGCTACATCTCGCCGGAGCGGGCCCAGGCGGGCATGAACCTGCCCGTGCCCGTCGGCATGTTCATGAACATGGCTCACATCCCGCCCCGTTTCTACAACCAGCACCAGCAGGCGCTGCAGGCGCGACAGCAGCAGAACCCGAGGAACCGCAAGCCTCCCTCACGTCAGAAGGGCAAGGGCCTGAGCCAGGACCAGACGCAGCCCTTCAGCCAGAGCCTTCAGCTGACCCAGGGCATGTCCCAGCCCGGCCTGTCGCAGCCCGGGTTCAGCCTGAGCCAGCCGGGGCTGTCGCAGGCGGAGCTCAGCCAGGACCCGTACATGGCCGATTACCAGTCCCAGATGGAAGGATTACTGTCCCAGGATTCCACTTACCAGGGAGATAGGTGAGTTTTTAAAAAATTTTGCCCAATAAAAAAATATCGGAACCTTTACCTTGTAAAACAGCAAAAGGTGTAAACGTTCCACTTAAATAACTTTTTTTTTAATTTAATGTTTCAGTTATCTTTTTTTTTTTTTCTTATATTTCCTTATTATTGGTAATAAATTGCACTTATAGAAAAAAGCATCAAAATTCTTAGGCCTTAAGAGATTAATTTTATGGAGCCGTAAAATAGGATCAAATTTTGGCCGACGTTAAAATTTCGTTCCTGTACGGATCGGCAACCAATTTTCATTTGTTATGACGCGATTTTAATTCAGTGTCACTCTGTTATGTTTATAATTTCCAATTTTAAAGTTCGCCGATTCAATATTACCTTCAATCCGTAACTAAACTAAAAGACATTTGAACTACTTCATCAAATTTTTCCTGCTAAGAATTATTTTGTCATCAATGCTTGCCTTAAATTTGGATATAGAGAATATAAGCCCGTAATTGATATAAATTTAACAATGAAAAGCAGAAGATAGAAAATTTAAAGTCCATTAATTCAATATTATCAACAATCTGCTAAAACAGACGTTTGAACTACTCGCATCAGAATTTTTGTAAAAATTTAACAATGAAAAGAAGAATATAGAAATTTTAAAGTACTTATTCAATATTACCAACAATCTGCTAAAACAGACGTTTGAACTACTCACATCAGAATTTTTGTAAAAATTTAACAATGAAAAGAAGAATATAGAAATTTTAAAGTACTTATTCAATATTACCAACAATCTGCTAAAACAGACGTTTGAACTACTCACATCAAATTTTTTGTATAAATTTAATAATGAAAAGCAGAATATAGAAATTTTAGTCATTCAATATTATCCACAATCTGCTAAAACTGAGACGTTTAAACTACTCGCATCAGAATTTTTATATAAATTTAACAATGGAAAGCAGAATATAGAAATTTTAAAGTCCAGTCATCCAATATTATCCAGTCTGCTAAAAGTGAGACATTTGAACTACTCGCATTAGATTTTTTTGTAAAATTTATACCTATGTAATTGTAGCAGAATATTTAGGAAAGCAAATATTAAAAAAACTAAAAAGGTTAATGTTATAAGTAATCCCTACACTTTCTGGTCATAATTTCCGGACATACGTCTCGAATATCTAAACTTTGCTGTTAATTTGAAAAAAGGTGTTGGCGTGACGCGTCTCTCGATTTTCCAGGTCTGCATTCTACCAGCCTAGCGCGCAGTTCTCCCAACCCTATTGATGTGTTGTGAAGGAGAAGATATATCGAATCGCGGGAGCGGTCTTCTGAAAATTTGCAAGTGAATGATCTGATTGTCAAATTGTCAGTAACGCAGCATATACAGGTCACATGATGTCGACTACGGAATCACAAAAAAAAACACATGATAATAAATGAGAGGTTATCAAGTATCGTGACACGAGAAAAATGATACTTATTACCGGAGAACGGTTAATCGGTAATCCTGTAGATGACGTTTCACACCGCCTGTGACTAACCGATTCATTACTTTTTTTGTAATTAGTTTATTTTAAATTTAATCTGTTCACCGTTGGTAATATTACTTCGATCTGGGTCGGGACGATTCTTTTTTCTTTTTTTTTTTTCACTGCTGTAACCAGACGCTTCGACTCGCCTTGAAAGTAATATTATTAACGTCCCCCATATGAGTTATTTTATAAATCATGACCATTTCACGTGGTAAAATTAAAATAGTTTTAGTTTTCTTTATTTTTTCTAATTATTGGCATTGTATTAAAAGGGTTATGTATACCTATTCGTCTTCGGGTACTTTAGTTAAAATAATGTTAAATTTTTCGCTTGTTAAACCTTGCTTTTATTTCTATCAGTATTTTTTGTGTATTTTATACACAAAATCAATAGTTTCTGGAGCATAATAAAATTTTTAGTGTTCGATGGTTGTTTTATTGGTTTAACGGAAACATGGAACATCTTTTGCCTTCGCTTCGGTGCGTAAATAAGGCAGAATATCGACCCAGTGATGGAGCAGTAACAAAATGTCTTTGTGAAACGATCTTATTGGTGCGATGTATTGAATCACCTCTTACAGCTGCCGTACTGGGTATTTTTAATATAAGGCGGAATTTGTGCTTTCAATGGGCATAATATTTGCACAAATGTGGCTGATGATGAACCATTTACATAATTTTGGCAGAAATACGTAATTTTGAAACAAAATATGCCAAAAATACGTGTGCGATAACCAGAAATCCCTGCAAAATGTGTCTGAAATTTGAAAGGTTGATGGAAAAATAATTTGAGATCGTTGTGACTGACTGGGACTCTGTGAAGGCACTTGAACACCGAACTTAAAACTAAATCAGTCTCAAAAACTGAACTGCACTGGCAAATTCAGAAACGAAACTGGCAAAAATAAGATTTTGCTTATATTTATATTTTGTAGAGATGGGCACTTTTTGGAAAAGTGTTACAGACATGTTGATGAAATGTCGGGAAAAGTACTTTTGACCTTGAATCTAATAAGGCACCTGACATGTTTTCACAGGGTACACAAAGCACAATATTTTTATTCTAACGAATATGTGTCGATATATTTTACTTATTACCTACCTTTAGACTTTTTTTATAAACTGGTTTTTAATTTTCCCCGGCCAGCCAATACACTTATTTAAATGTTTTTCCATCCTACTGAAATTCTTAAAAATTGTTTTTGAACAGAAGTTACATTTATAATGATTTCTACTCAAATCAGGAAAATATAACCAAACTGTTGATTTTGGCGTCATACTTCATTTATAAACTGTTTGTGTATTAAATATTAAATTAAGAATCAACTGATTACTATTTACTAATCGTTAACTTTGCCAAAAATAATAAAATATGGACATATAAATGAGGTTATATTTTTAAAATGTCAGTTTTTCAGTTAAACAATTACCAACTAAATTACAAGAAAATGACTAAATAGCTGCTTTCTTTCGGGTGCCGTTTTCGGATCTAAACGCGTTATTATCCCAAAATCATGTTCTTAGTTGTTTTTTTGTTTCCGGATCACATCAGATTATATGATCAGGATCGGTAATCACCCCTTTCCCCTAGGAATCAAACTTTTTATGTGATTCGAACTTTTGATCACGATCAGATATTTAATATAACCTTAAAATTGTGGTGGTTTCTTTACTCAAATGTCAACATTAAACAAAATCCAGTTCTTTTCGAAATTAGATTCATATATCTAGTTCGTGTTTGTCTGATCCTGATTCAGTGATCATGATTCAAAGCTGAGAGCAAAAAGAAAACGGCTATTATCTTTAATTTTACATGTACCAACATCAAAATTTTTTGCGGGAATTATGTATATGCAACAAATAATTCCGCGTATACGCATACAACTTTCAATCCTGAAAAGTGTCCTCAGGACATATCCACTTTTCACATGTCCACGGCACATCTCTATTTATTATATGGCGGAATTTGTACTTTCAGTGGGCATAATCAGACAAATATGTGACTGATAATGAACCATTTATATAATTTTCGCAGAAATATGTAATTTGGAAACAAAATATACGGGTGCGATAACCAGAAATTCATGCAAAATGTGTCTGAATTTGAGAGGTTGATGGAAAAATAATTCGAGAGCGTTGTGACTGACAGGCTCTGCGAAGGCACCTAAACTTGAACACTGAACTTAAAACTAAATTGGACTCAAAAACTGAACTGCACTGGCGAATTCAGATACTGAATCCGACGGATTCAGAAACCAAACTGGCAAATATAAGATTTTGCTTGTATATTTATATTTTGCGCCATAAGGGTCTATGTAAAAAAAAATTGCGTCGTAAATGAACAATTTTCTAGAGGTTGGTCAGCGATTTTAACTTTGGACCAATGAAGGTGAACGGTCGGTCACACCCCTGACCAATGAGATTTCAGAATTTGGATATAGATAATACTTACAGATGTGTTCCGCGGGCTTAAGAGGGCTCTATAGAAAATAGACAACTAGCAATACATTTTTATAGATTTTATTACACAGCTTGGCTAAATGTAAATTAATGGACAAATAACATACTTTACTCTAATCTATTTTCTATAAAATGGACTTTGAAACTCAAATTACTTTTTGTTGTAAAGAAATTTGTAGTTTGAATCATAAATTACAAATTTCTTTACATCAAAAAGTAATTTGTTTCAAACCAACTCCATTTTAAAGAAAATCTGTGTTAAAATGGGGGAAAGTCTGTTATTTCTGCATTAATTCATATTTACACAAACTGTGTAATAAAAAATTTATAGTGTATTGCTGGTTTCCTATCTACAGCTTAAACGTAATCCTGCAGTTACTCACCCCAAGTTTTTTCCTACAGACATTTATTTCTTTGGTGGAAGAAAACGCAAATGTTATTGGAGAAATACAATGATTTATTTATTCACTTTATTCAATAATAAATTTTTACAATGTTCACAAACAGCCGACGGAGTCGAATTAAAAAATAAACTCCATCGGCCTTACAAAAAGAGAAACGGAACAATTGAACTTACTCTATGAATTTAAGTATGAAACGTTTAAGTGTTACATCTTTTTAAAGACTGTCGCTGAAAGAGTTTCAACAGTGCTGAAAAAAATGTATTTTTCCGCAGTCTAAAGAACAACAAAGAAAATCGCAATAATATATGTTCATAAGTTATTTATTGTTTACGATTATTGTATTCGACTTTAATATTGTCTAATAATTTACAATAGATTTAGAATAGACACTATAATTATATAACTTTTTTTATTTTTTGGCACGTAGTGATTATTTTACGCGAGTTTTAGGGCCACGATTTTTGCCGCTTGGCATGCAAAAATATTTGTGTGAACGTGAACATCTTTTTGCTTCCAGCAGCGCAGCGACAAAAACGTGAGCCCCATCACCTATATGAGATCAAATATATATTAAAATCACAATATCAGATGTCTATAAATAATATCAATTCGTGAGAATTTCCATTAAAAACAACTTGAAAATATAAAGTTCGCTGGTAATAATTATTAAAGAGAAAACACCAAGAAATTGTATACACTACCACTCACAAAACATGCAACGACAATTTAATTATATGATCTTCATTTTAACAAAAACAATTAACGTTCTATATCGTTGCTATATGTTCAATTATTATCGGGCGTTACACCCATTACGTGATATGTATCATTTACATTTTTACGAATCCCGATGGACCCGTAAAGTTAAGCGTACTATCGTAGCTTATACTTACAAACGAAACTCGGACAAAACAATTAATCTAACTAATACTGTTTTTTCGGCAACAGCGAGTTTTTATAAATGTTTCGACGTTGCCATTTTTCCCAATTTTTGTATTTTTTTGTGTTATTCATATACATATTAAAATAGAGAAAACTGACCACATTCTCATTTACAAGCTCAATGAAAAAAAATTACAAAAATATTGGATTTCTTATTTTAATATATACTTCGTATTTTTCTATGGCTGCATCGCAGGAACCGTATTAATTAAAGTATCGCTTAAATAATTGCAAATTATTCGCTCAGTGTACCGCACTTGAAAAAAAAATATTCAGTACACATCCGTACAAATTAAATTATGCAGCCACGTTTATTTATTGTACATAATTTTAATTTCTCATGTACTAACATGTCCGATACCCTCAAATTTTAATTTACGAGAATAAGTGTAAGAGCTAAAGGACTTCCAAGGAGCAAAATCCTGAAACGTTTACATCAACGATAACCGATGAAGGTGGTGGGATGTTAATGCATGAGAAACGCACAAACGAACAAAATGCCATGGTCAATCTGAACACAAAAAGAACGAACACAAACTACAACGATTCTTCCATCCAACCTAAATATACCATCGCGGGCATTCCCCATTTTCTATTTCGAGACCATGTAATAAAAAAATATTAAAAACCACTTATACTAATAAAGAGTGTATAAAAAGTTGTTTTATATTTTGTATATGCTCCTTATTCTAGATGGAATGTACGTTCATCCGCCGTTTAACCTAAAAGTAAGAATCCTCCCATTCACTTACCGTTATTGCACTACATCATCTTTGGTTCTGATTCAAGCTCACCGGCAGAATGTTATTAAGCATTTTAGTTCTGAGCAGCTCCTGATACGAACAGGATATAATTTCTTTTATGTGCCTGAAAGTTTCCACGTCAAACACCGATCTAGCCGTGTTCGTGAAATCAAAAGGCTCCTCGATGCACAGGTACTTCCACTGGTGGGGATCGTTCTTGGGGGCCTTCGTGTAGCGACATTCGTCGATGGGCAGCCTGCAGCCGGCACGGACAGAGATGGCGTACTGATTGTAGTTGAACATCGAGTAATACTGAAAGAACCCGATCAGTAGCTCTCCCAAGCATATCCTGTTGTCCGACTTGAAGTTTTTTATGCTGGCTATTTCCTCTTGAACATCCATGGTGTGGTTAACGTTGTCCGAATTGAACTTTTCCGGTACTAGGCCGTGTAGGCAAGGCAATACGGGTGGTGTTACGCCACCTAAGAAACGAGGAATATAGTGAACGTACTTTTTAATTCAATTAACTCACATTGTAAGTAATGTATAACCATAAGCGCCCAAGAATAACTGGAAACTGTCATGTTTTTTGCATCGTTGATGTGGTTGGCTTGCGCCCAGAGCTTCACGATGATGACTAAGGGGCGGACCCTCCAGTCTAGACGGGCGTAAGAATGCAGGAGATGGGTGTTACGTATTCCCACGGAATTGTTACAGTTAAGGTCGATCTCGAAACCGGTTTCTTTGTCCTTGAATTTTAGGATCGGCACCTTTGCTAAAATAAGTTCTGGGACATCCGTTAAACCTACAACACTTTCTCGATGCATTGTTGATTTTAACGATTTTACAAAAAAAATTACCATATTTTATCAAGAGGTGTCTAATGGAATTCAAGTGATGCAAAGAGTCTAGTCTGGGATCGTTAGTGCAGGGTTTCGTTAACAAACACATATCTATGTCACTGCTCTCTAATCCAAAGCCCGACATGGTCGACCCAACCATAAAGAGTCCATAACTACTTAAACACTTCTAAAAAAGAAAATTAAGTACCACCGTTAATATATTCGCCAAAATAACAGAAGTAGTGACATCTATTATGTTAATTTAAAGTCACTTTTGTAGGGATAACATTTAGTTTTGTATTTCTTATTATATTTCTTAGTCAATATATTTTTTAACTGTACAAGTCAAAGGAGAGAAAAATAATAAATCAATCAAAGAATATAAAATACAGTAACAGAGGAATGTGACATGCAAAACACGTTCCCGATATTCAAATTTATGATTTTCGAGTGAGAACAGTGCCATCTCTTGGTTGCTTTATTTTCATCAATACCAAAATTGGATTGTTTGCCTTGACACAAATCAATAGCATTTTTGTACACTTTAAAAATACATAATTTTTACTTAAAAACAGATCTTACAAATTCATTAGAAAACAATTAATACATAAAATCTCCTTTATTTAACTTACCCTTATGTACAAAAAAATATTTTTCCACAGGCTAATCTTACACTCGTAAGTTTTCTCTTTCTGAGCCTTACTACTAAACACGTCCCAAATGGCCTGATTTAATTGGTCCCAGGGTCCGCCATTCAACAATTCAGGTGGGTTGGGATTAATTCTCATCAGTTCGGATCGGGACTTGAACCTTTCCACTAATCCGTGAGCTCGCCTGACCATAATGTCCATTCCGTTCTTGTTGTGGCCATTGTACGAGTGATGATTATGTTTCTGGCGCGCTGTGTTGTTACTGCCGCTATTGTTTGCAAAATATCTAAATAATTATTCACTTTAAAAATTAGCTATTTAAATAGTGGTTAGTAGAATTGGTCCGATTGTTTCCGCTAGTAGTCTTTCTGTATAACAACACTTATAACATGTTGATCTTTGTAGAAGAGGAAGAAGAGTTCTTCTTGTCGAACGTCAAATTTTGACGTCCGACAATTTGACAGAAGCTGACAGTATTGATTATTCATTATAAGTTTTTTTAGCTTGTAGCAGATTTTAACAATTTAATTACAGTGCAAAACAATAGTACATACAACATAACACTATGGAATAATTGAAATCCGAAAAGTACCGTTACTGTAGAATACTAATTGAGGTTAGATCTGATAACAAGAACTTGCTTCAAAATGACTGCAGATTTGATAGTAGATCCTCAAATAAGATTTTGGGTGTTCTTACCGATAGTGATAATAACGTTCTTGGTGGGGATCTTAAGACATTACGTATCGATTTTACTGTCTAGTCAAAAGAAGGTGGAGATACAACAACTAGCAGATTCTCAGCTAATATTAAGAGCAAGGGCTCTGCGTGAAAACTCTGGGTATATCCCGAAAAATTCCTTTTTGATAAGGAGACAAGCCTTTAATAAAGAAGATGGATATTTGATGCAAAAACGTCCTCCGGTCACTCAGAACATGATGACAGATCCATCAATGATGACGGACATGCTGAAAGGCAATTTAACAAACGTATTGCCCATGATAATCATAGGGGGTTGGATAAATTGGATGTTCTCTGGATTTATCACCACAAAGGTACCCTTCCCTTTGACTTTGCGATTTAAATCTATGCTTCAAAGGGGGATCGAGTTGTCTCATTTAGATGCTAGTTGGGTATCGTCGGCGTCTTGGTATTTCTTGAACGTTTTTGGATTAAGGAGCATTTACACTTTGGTTTTGGGTGAGAATAATGCAGCGGATCAAAGCAGACAGATGCAGGAACAAATGCAAATGACGGGGGCAGCATCGGTTATGCCCGCTGATCCCAAAGTACCATTTAAGGCTGAGTGGGAAGCTTTGGAAATCGTTGAACATCAATGGAAATTAACAGATGTAGAAAAAGAATTCTTACAAGATGAATAAATTTTAATATATGTATAATTTTATACTTAATTGAATTGGACAAATTGTCCTTGTTATAATTAAAATTGTTGTTATTTTAATTCCTTTAATAGATATGTTATAATTGTTATATGATTAAGTAATTTAATTGTATTTTAATTCCATATGTAATATTGCCTGTTTTGTTTGGCATTAATTGATAATTGATAAAATATAAAAAGAGAAAATTTAAATAAACTAAATTACTGTATTAATACGTAAATGTACCCACAATTAAATAAAAACTTATTCTCACACAAACATGTAATCCACTCACTACACCTGCTCATGATAATTATTACGAAATTATTGGAATTTTTCTTCATGCGACTGACATGTCTATCGAGTTAGTTTTCTCATGTTAAGACCTTTTCAGTTAGAAAAATAGCTTGGTTTCAAATAAAATTGTGCAAATGGATTACAAAACAACATCCCAAACAATATAAATCAATTCTGTTAGAATTAAAAAAAAATGTGACATGCATAAAAGTATTGTCTATTTCTATAATAATTAGATGTAAAAAAAAAAATATATAAAGAGGACATCACACAACAACGTTACCTATTTTTGTTGAAATTTCCATTACTATGACTATTGTGTTGTGCGCTAGACGAGTACTGAATATTAGAATGAAAAACGTTGGGCGAACTCTGACTGTATTTACCAAACATGATAGTTTGGTCACTTAATCTATTCATTCCATTTCTTGAATTGTTAAATCTTACCCCTTAAACACAAGTCAGACACGTGCAAGAAGAATATCGAAACCTGCTTTCAAAAATGCATATTTGTAACGGAAAATTAATAATTTTACTTACCGTAACTGTCAGGTGGAGTGCCCCTAGAAGAGTAAGTGGTGCAACTCTCGTCACTATCATACCCCTTTGGAGATATAGGTCTATAACTATCTCTCTGTCTCGTATTGTCTCTAGGTTGGTACCTCTTTATAACGTTATTATTATTATTATAATTGACGATTTTGTGAGGTGGTGGAGGCATCATGTTTAATGGCAACTTAACCAGCTGGGTAACGTTTTGGTTAATCATCTCTACATTATTCACACAATCGGGCTTACAGTTATTTACTTTATTATTTATCGTGTTCAAGTCATCTTTTTCCGAGCTGTTATACTGATTCACTGAATAACCGTTCTGAGAAAGTATATCGAAGAACATGGTTTCATGGAACATGTTAATATTATTAGCTGCCATAATTTGCGAGTCCAGCTCCATTCTTTCAGGTGAATAGCTAAGCAGTGACTTTATTATCAGTAACAATTTTATTGTAACAGGCAAATCTCCTTAGTATACACAAAATATATTCACTCTTTACTAAAATATCTACAAAAAACACCACAGTTTAGGTTAGAAAAGAACATTCCGTTATTTAAGGACAAATAACGTTAAGGGGATCACTGCTTATCGCCTTACCATGATAACTTTTTATTTTGGACAAATCGGGCTTATGACCTTTTTAGGCAATTATATGAAAAAAACAATGACAGTTTCTCATTCCTCAACTACTACATCTATAAAAAAAAAAAGTCAAGTTGAACCGCCAAATGCGGTTGCGCTTATTTTTTTGTTGTTGCCAACATTGCCAAAATAAGTTACTAGGATTTGAAATTCGATATAGCCTCAGAAAATTTATTATAAGAAGGCATTTCTCATATGTTTATGTTTACACCCGAGTGTGAACAATTTCCCAGATTAATAAGGAGGAATGGAGTGTTAAAAATAGAGCCCATTGGGCATCTCACTTTATTTTTTTATATAACGGTGCGATTCAGTTATTCATGAATAAAGGCGGCTTTAAAATTATTATCACTAATTTCCACAACCCACAGATAAACTAGAAGTATATATATGTACATAACTTATTCAAGAATTCACAGTTATTGAGATAAATTTGATACCAATGATTAACAATAAAAATGTCAGTCATCAATAAGTATATCAAATATCATCGATTCATCAATAATTGAATACAGAAAGAAAGTGCGGCAAGGAATTTCCGTTTGAATCCATTATATTTTTTATAATCGAATAGCAACATTTCAAATAAGACATATTTAGTTAAATTGTCATAATTTGACGTCAGTATAAGCCCTTTTCTTTTACTCATGATTTCGGAATCATAACGTGTTACGATCCGATGGAAACCAATCAGATTGCTAGATTTCGGATCATAATGCGTTATGATTCCGAAATCATGAGTAAAAGAAAACAGCAATAATCTTCCCTTAAGTGGTGTATCAGTATCAATGAATCACCCTGTATATTCAAATGAAATATTTCGTCGTTTGTTTTCTGTAACTGAATGTAGTCAGCAAATTGTTCTCTATAAATTAATTGAAAATTCCAAAAGTTCCCGTTAATAATTCCAAATACCGTTATTAAACCAATCGGCATACTACCAGAATTGGTTCATCTAGTTTTATTCCATGAATCCATGGCCATACCCATTTCTGTTCACGATCACGACCGTTGATAAAAATGTATCGATGAGTCGTCCAGCAGACATATAAGTACGCAAAAAGTAGTCCTAAATTCTAAATTGAACTATAAATTTAAATGACGTTATTTTAATTAGCCGCCTTGATCGATACCTAAGATAAGTCGTAAGTTGATGTAGATTTGCAGTTTTTAAATCAACTCTTAACTGCACAATATGCACAGACCAAATTTAATTTAGAGCACATGATTAAAACGGGAAGCTATTATGTTTAATATTTACTTAGATAAGCTCACAAAAAACACCGCCACTTGCCTCAGGCTTATTAAATAATTTACGTTCAGTAATAGCTTCTTTGTTACAGCCTTCAACTTGAGGTAGAGCTTGACTACATTTTAAAATGTTTAAATTCAAAGAGCTATGTTTACCTGCAAATTTCGATCAACAAACTTTTATTATTGCTGAAATAGGGCAAAATCACCAAGGGGACATTAACACCGCAAAAAAATTAATAGAAGTCGCGAAGGTGAGCGAATTTCACTACAATCTTCTTTTTATTTACTTATTCTTCTGTATCTATAAAATATTTTCTTTATTAAATGAAATATATACGAATTTTATAGCTAAAAATCTGTTTTAGTTAATTTAATGAGTAATTTAACACTGACTTGTTCATTGGCTTCTAGAATTGTGGCGCAGACTGTGTGAAATTCCAAAAAACCGATCTAGAAGAAAAATTTAATGCGAGAGCATTAGAGAGGCCATATGTGTCTCCAAATTCTTTTGGTGAAACTTACGGAGAGCACAAAGCTTTTTTAGAATTCAGCGAAACAGAATTTATTATTCTACAAAAGTATGCTAACGAGCTCGATATTATTTTCGCAGCTTCCGCTATGGATGCACATTCCTTAAAGTTTTTGGCCGAAATTAATGTGCCGTTTATAAAAATCGGTTCGGGCGATGCTAATAATTATTTGCTTATAGAAAAAGCAGCAAAAACTGATATCCCGCTGATCATATCCACAGGTAATTTTTTATAGTATAAAGTATTTTGATAACAATGTTAAAAAAAACATTTCTAGGTATGCAAACAATAGAAGCAGTTAGAAAAATTTATAAAATCGTGTCGAAATATCACAAAAACTTTGCTCTACTACATTGTGTATCTGCTTACCCAACACCTTACGAGGACATAAATTTACAGGTCATCAATTTATTTAAAGAAGAATTTCCAGATGTAGCTATTGGTTATTCGGGGCATGAGTTAGGCACACATATCACGGTCGCAGCTGTGGCCATGGGTTGCAAGGTAACACGAATTAAATTCTTGCATTTATCGACCGACTGATCAGCCTTTAATTTTCAATTCTTACAGATTGTTGAGAAACACATAACTCTAAACAAGGGTCAAAAAGGATCTGATCACAAATGTTCCTTGGAACCACATGAATTTAAAGAAATGGTCGAGAAAATCAGGACCCTTGAGGCGGCTATGGGTAGGCCCATAAAGGTCATGCAAAATTCTGAACTGCCGTGTTATGAAAAACTGGGGAAAACGTTAGTGTACACTAGAGATTTACCCAAAGGCCATCAGTTACATGCTAACGACTTAAACATAAAAGTTGCTGAACCCAAAGGCATAGATGGAGCCAAATTTGATGACGTTATAGGAAAGATTTTAATTACTGAAGTGGAAAAAGATGATTCTGTATTAACACAACATTTAAATTAACATTTTTAAAACATAAAACTTGAATAAGTATTTTACTTTTTTCTTTCGTATTTCCACACATACACTGGAGCACGATCCTTGGTACCTTTCTTGACTTTTTTAGGGGGTAGAATGCTCTTTTTATTCTCTACAGCCTTAGAAATTTCAATTTTTTGTTGTATTATTGATAATTCTCGTTCCCTATTTATTCTGTTTCCTAGTTCTTTATAAAGATTTTTGCTTTTCTGTGCTGATTTAACTAATGTATCAACATCTATATCCGGCAACTCTTTCTCTGCTAGAAACTGCAATTTTCTTTGTTCTGATTCTTCTTTCTTCCTTTTATCAAAAAATATATGTTTATTCTTGGGTTGCAATTCAACACTAGAAAGGGATAACTGCGCCTGTAATTTCTCAATTTTCTTAAGTTCTTGTGTGCGTTTTGTAGTTATATACTTTAAATCTTGAGTTCGCATCAGCTGAATTTGTGCTGGTGTATCTTCAGGTTCGGTTTCTTTCTCAAAATGCGTTCCATTTTCAGTTTTCGAGTTTATCATGTGGTGGTAAAATTCGTCAGGGTTCTTATTTAAAGCTCTTTTGCGTAAAAGCTTCAACGTAGCCTTCTTTTCATTGTAATCTTTTGCTCGTAAGACGTAATCCTTTTTCTTTTCTAAAATACCCAAATGTTTCCTCTCTTCCGGTTGGTGCCGTTCTCTATGAGTCTTTTGATGCGCTTTGGCTGCTTTTTTCCACACAGACATTTTTACGCTTAACCGTTTTATCCTTTTTTTTCACAAACCTGTTTTACTGATTTGAGTTGAATATAACCTCAATTAATAACTCTTCTTCTGCTTTTTACGGTTAGCGTAGAATATAGAATACAGAGATAACTACGTTCCTTTGTCAAATGACCTTGAAAATGTGAGCACCTATCGGCTGTGGATTGTTCACCAAATAAAGTCCATTTTTTAAAAAGTGCTTACAGCTGAATTTCACGTATTCGCAAATTCGCATTAGATATTTGAAAGGAGTACGGTAAATAGAAAAAATCGTAGCAAAGTGTCTATAAGCTTTTTCAATGAACTTGCCAAAAAATTAAGATTATCTGTGGCCTGAGGCTGAAATTATGTGTCTCTTGGTCCAAATTCACTCCGCACTAATCACCTAAACTTTTGAACTTCTTCTAAATGTAACCTAATTTAGAATTTTATTATTGTATATACTATAAGGGCCAAATAATTAAAAAATATTAAATATGCACTATGCAGTTGCAGTACCAGTGGTATGTTGATCTGCACATTTGAAATAACCTTATTGCTCTTAAGCCAAAACGAATGGAAATTGTGGAAAGTGCTTAATTTTAAAATGGCGCTGTTATTTCGATTGTCATCGAGAACAGAAAATATTTTTTCTTGATTAGTTCTAATTCTAATTAATTGAAATTATGTGATATAATATCGCGTGATGTAGTAAATAAGTAGTATCACTTTTTATAGTATTAGCAAACGTAACATATCGAAATGTCGAAAAGACCTGTGTTGGATCCTTTTCAACCAAAAATTACAAGGAATGATCGATTTGCTCAAATGTCCCATCAAGAAAAAGTCATTGAGCAGAAGAAACGCGAAATTCAAGCAAAACTGGAAGCTAAAGAGAAAGAAAAAACAGCCAAAGTAGATAATAATAGTAAATCGAAAAATGAAATGTCAAAAAATAAAGATTCTATAAAAAGGTTTGTGAAACATGTAGAAATGTACAAATAGAGCTGCTTTATATTAATGTGGTAATGCATTTCAGCCCGACGTCTCAAAAAGATGTCAAAAACATATTTTCTAATGATGGTACATTTCTCGATCAGTTCAAGCAATTGAAGGATGCTAAGAAATTTGACGCAAAATTAAAATCATTCAACAAGTTTAGAGATCATGGTGATAAAAGTTATAAGTATGATATAAGCTTAAAAAAAAGTAAGATGCTGGATTAATGTAAGTATTTATGTTTCAGTGAAGAAAGAGGCAAATCGAATAGATGGACACCCCGCCGTCGCTCACCTTCACCTAAACTCCAGAAACGTGTTTCTCGTTTCTCTTCTGATAAAGTCCCAAATTTTGAACCCAAAATCACTATAAACACTTCTTTCAGTACCTCCATGACTCAAAACTTCGAGGCTCAACCTGTAACCCCTCAAAATGTTACTGGCCAACCACTGTTAAAGAACATAGTATCTACAATTGCTTATCCTAGCATACCACAACAAACCGCTGTCAGCGAAACCGTCATAACGGCCCCTCCAGTGCTTTTAAATGTCCCTCCCCCTCAAATCGTACAGGAACAGATCAGCAATACGTTAGTTTTAACCCCCATTCCTCCTGCTCAGAATGTATTGGTGTCTACGCCTCTGCAGAATCCGATTTTAACTACGGTTACTTTACCACCATCTCTAGTTACGACTAATATTCCTATTTCTGCCGTCTCGGCCCCACCGGCCTTGCCAGTGCCGCCTCCCGTTTTACCGACTGTCGAATTGGCTTCTATCCCGCCACCGAACCCTATTCAAGTTCAGAATATTCCGCAACCGGAACCGATAAACACACTAAACATCCCTCATCCCGCACCTATACAAGTTCAGAACATTCCCACACCTAGTTCGATTCAGTTGAATGAAATCCCTAACCCAAAACCTTTGGATTTACTAGCGATTCCCCCTCCTAACGAAGATAAAAACATGTCAGATCCTGATTTTATTAAAAATATCCCCCCTCCGAATAAGTCCATACCGCCTCCCCAAATAACAGAAAATCAGGGATTAAATGCTATAACTTGCTTACCTCCGAATCTGATGCCGCCTTCGCAAGCCATAGCGCAACCTACTTTGGCCGCCACAAGCACCCAAAGTATTTTGGTGCATACCGTTCCACCACCCAGTCAGATTCAGGCCTTGCAAAACATCCAACCTGCTCCGTCTAATCAGATCTTGCAGACGCAAGCCACTTTTTCCTCGGTTACTGTCGCTTTGCCTGTGGGAGTCGTGCAAGTGTCCACCACACCCACGATAGCAAATACAATTCCCTCGTTGATGGCACAACCTATTTTACCGCCGCCTGGGATGGGAGTTGGCGTAAACATAAATTGCCCTCCTCCCGCCATGCACGTTCAGAGTTCAGCGAATGGTTTGCAAAATCCTCCGCCTGCTTTCGTTACTCAGCCACCCTCCCTGACAAGTCAGATGCCTCCGATGAACGTGCCGCCTCCAACCAACGTGCAGCTGCTGAGTAATGTCGGCTTTAAGGACTTGAATGCAGGTAATTGTTGTGTTTTATTGGTTTTTTGTGAAGGTAAATGTAATGGGGGTAAATTTGGTTAAAAAAAAAATGGCAACGTTTATGTTTTCATAATTTTTAATGTGAAATTTTTTTTATTGAAATATTAAAATTTTTGGTTTGTTTGTTTTCATGAACAATTTTAATGAAAAAAATTAAAATTAAATAAAATTGGAAACTGCAACTCTATTTTCTATACATATTTTTCAAAATTATACTCTCGATCAGAGCGAAAGAGCTGCTTTAAGTAAAATAAACAACTTTTTAAAAAAGTAACATGTAATATTTAAGTACCCTTATAAATCGAGTTGTAATATTGGCGGCATTATTTCTGTATTTTTTTTTATACGATTCGAAAACATTGTTTCTACTAATAACAGATATTCCCTGTCACAACTAAAAATTTCAGGCACATTTTTAGGCTCTCCGTGCAGACTCACAGTAAAATATTTTTTTATCATAAACAGGGATGACTTACAATTCCAATACGAACATTTCGGCTTTATTTCGAAGAAAATTAAACTCAATAATAATAATACGTTTAATTTTAATTATTACCGTCGTGAATTGTGTTAGTTTCACTGTCTCTTTTTTATTATATGCAAATACAAGGTGTAACACAAAAACATGTCAAAAATGAAGGAGCTTTACCTGATAAACTTGTTTTTTTATACAGGCCGTTACAAGTTGGCTTATCACCACAGCTATTTCGGAAACGGTAAAAGATATGAAGTAGATTAAATAGGGGCAAGGTTGCAAAATCAGGGGACCAACATTTTGCCTCGAAAAAATCAAGGCTAACATGATTAGTTTTCGAAACATTTAAAAACAACCGATTTTTTGGAAATCCATTTTTGTTTCATTTCAGCCTTGTTTGAGGTATGGCAACTTTTTGCCCTATATCGAATGGTGTAATCAATTTTTATATGTGACGTTTCGTCTCTCCAGTACCATCATCAACTTAATTTTTTTAGATTCAGACGGTTTGTTTCGAAAAATTCATCTTCAGTGTATTACGTTCCAAATTTATCTAAATTTTTTATTTAGATTTCTTTGTTTATTGAATTATCACACACTATAAGTGTCGTTAGACCCTGTGACATCCATCTAGTTATTTAAACTATTACCACCATGCTTTACAAAATTAAAACATTATTTCAATTTAAATTTTATTATGACAAATTAATTCTTAAAAATGCATATGAACAACCGAAACGCCAACTGAATATTATTCTTTAAAAAATTTCAGTAAACGTTCAAAAGCATTTTCATTTTGGCAAAGGTTGAAAATGAAGGTCAGCGTAATATTATCAGAATTTAAATATTTCTGTAACGGCAACTGCGAAAGATGTATTTGTATGAATATCCAGGAAAAAATAGATCGGAATTTGTTTGAATTTTGAACACCCGAGAAGCCTAGAAATTACTATGGACACGGGAATAAAACTCTAATAATGTTTTATTTTAATGTGTGGTGGTAATAGTTTAAATAACTAGATGGATTTCACAGGGTCTAACGACACTTGCAGTGTACGATAATTCAATAAACAAAGAAGTCTAAATAAAAAATTTGGATAAATTTGGAACGTATACACTGAAGATGAATTTTTCGAGACAAAACGTCTGAATCTGGTTCGGGCCAAGGCAGTACAGTATTGGGGGTCATGAAGGTTTGCAAAAAATGTAATAAAATTTGTTAGCGTCATATTTAAAAAAATTAAGTTGATGATGGTCTTGGAGAAACGAAACGTTACATATAAAAATTGATTACGCCAATCGATAGAGGGCAAAAAGTGGCCATGAGAAAGTATTCTTCTTTTTTCAATATCGCCTCAAACAAGGCTGAAATGAAACAAGAACGGATTTCCAAAATTTCGTTTTTTTTTCAAATATTTCGAAAACTTGAGTTGTTAGCCTTGATTTTTTGGGGGCATAGTCGTTTCCCTGATTATGCAACTTTGTCCCCGTTTAAGCTACATAAAGATATTACAGGAAACAGCGGCACTATTCGTGCTTTCATCGTACCTACAGATTAGCAGGTCACTCTCTGCCAGTAGGCATTGAGAAGTGTTGACAATTAAAATACTTTGTAGGTTCCTTCTTTTTCAACATGCCATTGTGTTCCTGTATGTATACTAAAAATTATAATTTTTTAACATGTCCGACTAAATTAAAAAATTAAAGAAAGTAACGTTATTTTAAAATATTTTTTGCTTTGCCCAATGATCGAATTATCGGGTTGTGAGGGCAGGTAAAGGCGTGGCGCATCAGTCGTTTGATTTTCTTCTTGTGGAAAAGCCCTCGAGTCATCCCTGTGCTTGTACAGGGCTTTTTAGTGATGTGTTGTGAAGTTTTCCCCCCAGGTTCCCCAGATTACGAGGCGATGGCGTCCCTGGGACGCATGGTGGCCGAGTGTGGGCAGGGTATCGAGGACATCGTTAGACAACGAAAAAACCAAGATCCCAGTTTGTGGTATGCAGGGATAGACTGCGACATATATAAAATCAGATTAAGTCCAAGGCTATCAAGTAAAACTAGTAAAAGAGGCACTGCTTTTATTAATAAAGTTTCCGATTTTTAAGATACCACAGCATCTGTACGCTCTAGAGGTAGATAACAGTTTAAAAAGTTCCCGAGACAAACGGTTTTGTCGTAGTTGGTAAAAGCGTATTTGGATTTGTTAAAAACTATTTCTAGAGCAAGAAAACCGCAAAAACGAAGTTTGTATTGTTTTGTAAATGAGTCGGTATCGTTTTAAAACTCTACAAACTTTTTTTGGTAACTAATTCAGATGGAAAAAAAAGTACAAGTCAAAATAAATAATAATTTTTTTAATGTGCATGGCAGGGTGTTTCAATTTTCCCTGTACATAAGGCTACTACAGATTATTGCGGTCAAAATATGTTTAAAGCATCACAGTTGACAAAAAATTATTTTAAAAGGGTTTTTAAAATTTTGGCCTTTAGAATCTGTAGCAAAAAAGTAAATTAGTATTAATTCAAAACTCCATCCGTACTAGTTAAATTTCATAACCCCCAATTGGAGCTTCTCATTTTTTTTGTACAAAATTTGAAACAAAATTTGAAAAATATATGATAAAAGCAAAGCCTGCCTTATTTAGAAAAGGGACTTGATCTCAATAAAATAAACCGTAAAATTTTTACCGGATTAATTTTTGGAACGGTTTTCGAATGTTCATAGGTTCCTATTTCATAAAGAATCGGCGGCTTATCGACAGTATCACGGGCTCGTCCAGCAATTTAAGAAAGAGGTAGAGGATAAGAGAATGGCGGAAACCAAAGAATTCATTGCAAAACCCGAGGATATATACGAACCCGAAATGGCGTTAGAAGAAACCGACAGGGTGATGGTGAAAACTGAGATTAAACAGGAGGTACGGAAAAAGCAAAACACGATTTTTATTGTCGGGTAACGCGAAATACTGTCCTTTTTTCAGGAAGAATCATGCGAAGGGTCCGAGAAAAAAAGGAAACGAAAAAGCAGGTGGGGCGATAAGGAATGTAACGTTCCCCCGCCCACGGTTGTGTTTAATCAAGCCTCCTGTGTCAGTCCGGTTCTTCCCGTTATGCCACAACCGCAAATCAGTGAGTAACTTCACAAATTTATTGTCTCTCTATTTTTTAGATATTTTGCCACTATAAATTTTAAAAATATATTAAGTCGGTTTAGAATTGTTTCTTTCTGCATTAAAAACGTAATACACTGTTAGTGGAATCAAGATAGATTTTGACTTCGCGAATATTACGGAAAGAGAACTTTTTATTTTTCGCTTTGTAAAGTTGTCATAAACAACATATAAAAAGTTACCAACTGTAGAGTGTAAGCTAAATTATTTATTTAACAAATTAGTTGCAAAATTACAGTTTTTGCAAAATATATACAAAAATGTAATTTTCTAAAAAAAAATTAGCTGCACCAATCGAAAAAACGAAATTTTACATAAAAAATGTTATACATTTCGGTCCGTCTTACTCACTTTCTACGAACTAACACAAATGTTGTCTTGCTTCACCATAACACAAATGCTTCACCATAAATTAAAACGATATCCATCAACTCCGAGTTGCTATACACACAAACCATTTTTGACACTAACTACTAAAAAAATATTGCAAACACCACAGATAACAGGTAAACACTCTCGCAGCGACGATTGCAAAAGCGGATTTCAGTATTCGGAGTCGCTGAGGCCACGTGGCTCTCCACGCGTATTGCGAATGACGCTAGAGACTACAGTTGTCCAGCTATGTAGTCGTTGAATGTACTATAACTTCAATAATTTTTTTCTCGGAAACTATA